CCGCCGAATCAGTGTCAACCCAACGAGGACTCATCGAAGCCCTGTCACGTGACGAGGATTCGTCGAATCTGTGTCAACTTGGATCCTTGCCATCTTGGCGTGGATTCGACGAATCCGTGCTGAAAACGGCGCTTACTCGAAGGTTTCAGCGCTTGCTCGAGCGGATCAGCGCTGATCCGACACAACGACCCTACTTTTCCTTGTCAAACCAGCGCTGGTTCGCGAATCAGTGCTGAAACCAGCGCTTAGAGAAGGACTGGGTTGGTCTATGTCGACGATTTGATGTTTGCAGGTGAGCGACGTGACATTGATAAGGTAATGCAAGATTTGAAGAAGGTCCTTCTGATCCGGCAGACAGGTGAATTGAATGAAGGTAAGACAGTCTCATTCTTGGGACGTCAGATTCGCCGAAGATTCCATGTTACTACCGCATGACCAAGAGCAAGCCTGCTCAAACGCCAGGAGGTGACTCATTGCGCAAGTTGCTTGACAACGAACTGTTGGATTCGGAAGAGCGTAAATGTCTAGGAGATTGGTTGGACAATTTCAAGGAGTTGTCACGAGGATTGGTTGCTCCCACCGAGGTGCACAAGACTAAGTTGAAGACATTGTTGAGGTACCTGAGTGGAACCAAGGAGATTGGGAGACAGGTGAAATCATTGGACATAAGGTTTATGTGGACAGTGATTGGGCCGGTTGCACCGACTCCAGGAGGCCCGCATCAGGAGTCTTGGCGCCAACATTTCAGCACACAGCAGAACACAGGCCACCATTGCCTACTTATGCTATTGGAAGTGGTGCGGCCGAGGTCCTATTCATTAAAGCTTTGGTTCTGGAATCCCTTGTGGCTCCCAAGGTGAACATCATTTTGTTTACCAATTCAACCGCAGGCAAGAGCATGGCTGTCGGATTTGGGGCATCCCGGAAAACTAAACATGTCCCAATTGCGATTTCTGTTTGTCCAGGAGCTAGGTCCTCTGGGACCCTGGTGATTAATAACATTCCGGGAACCCTCAACCCGTCTGACAGTTTAACCAAGTATGTTGCCAAGGCAAAAATTCTGCAGAGCATAAACTCACATTGGGGATCTGCCCTTCAGGCAGTAGGTAGCCAACATGATTCGGATTGACTTAGTCAGTAGCCAAGACGTTTTGTCACGTGAGTTCAAAGCCATTCATGCATGACTGCGACATTTGTTTGCTCAACATTGTGTCTGACATTTCGGTGTGCATCTCCTTCGACCGATGCGGTGGACAGCGCGCGCGTTCCGGAATTTGGCGCAACAGTATTCCCACCGGATTCTCGCAAGAGACTCGAGGATGGAACGAGTCAATTTCTCGGAGCACAAGGCATTCATTTCGGCCACGATGCTGTGGCAGGTTCTGGTCAGCGGCCAACAGCAGGAACAATTTGGATTCCAGAATTTCATCTTCATGAGCCGATTCGCGGAGGAGGTCTGGAGTATGAAGATTTTGATTAGGGTTATTCCCAACATTGCGATTGGGAGTATGGCCTATACTCCATTCGAGCGGCATTTGTGGCTACACTACCCGCCGAGGTTTGAGAGATTGGTTCCATTCAATCCCCAGATGATTTTTGAGGGCCGTGCCAGTAACATTCCTGAGGCTATGAAGGGAATATTTGCAATTATTGCTTCACATTGTTTCTGGAACAGTCAGCTTACTGGATGCCATTTGAGCCCGAGTTTGTCTTTGCTCTTCTTTCTGTATTCATTCAGCCATGAGCGATCAGAACAGATTGTTGCAGTATTTGGCGGACACACCAGTTGTGACTGGATTCAGGCCGCGTTCGTACTCACATATTTTGTTAGGTCTCACATTGACCACATCATTCACTTCAAGGATTAGATTTATGATTCAAGAGACAGCTTGGCGATGCAGGAGATTTGCTCCATGGCTGGGTTCAGGATCCGGGCCCAGATTGGAGAGTTGACGAACGTTGCCAAGTCATTGCAGCAAAGCGACTCTCATTGGTACCAGGATTACCACGTGTTCATTCCCAAGATCTGGAAGACTTCACTGGACAAGTTCATGGGCGACTACCAGGAGATTCCCAAGTCACTGGTAGATTCATATTACAGAGCGAGGCTGTGATTCAGCATTGATGGAGCTTGGGTCTCCAAGCTCTGATTTTGATGCATTTTTTCCACACTGGATTTGCATTGGGGTTCTATGTTCATTGGATATTGCGATTTTGCCTGGTTCGATTGGCCACTTCGTTTGTGATTCAGTTTTTTGCGTTTGTGTTGAGGTACAGCTACAACATTTCTGTAGATGACAGTTTACTTTTGGTTACATCTATGACACCAATGCATTGAGAGGATGTTTTCTGGTGATTCTGGAGGCGACCCTCTTGGAATACATTCTGTCTGTGATTCGAGGCCACAGTACATTCAAACGCTTGTCCTTTTGCATGTCCCAGCATTGCAATTCTTTTGCTGATGACTAGGTCACGCGTTTTGCATAGACATTTTGCAGAGAGAACAGATTTCAAGGCAGCTGGCATTTTGTGGAACACATTTGTTGAAGTGTGGAGAAATTCCACATGTTCCATTAATCCAAGGGGGCGTGCGAAAGTACACCATACGTTCCCACTTGGATGTAACTCATGCTGATTACCATTGCATGGCTCAAGACACTACAGGTGCATTTGCTGCCTTGGTTGATTAGGAGAGATTAGACTCTGATTTTCCCAGGTTAGTTGGTTTGGTTGGCTTTGTTGTTTGTTTGATGATTTGTTTGGTTGTTTCTTTGTCTGATTATGTTTGTTGGCTTGTGTTATGTGTGTTTGTTTTTTGTTTATTGGTTTGTTTGTTTGTGTGTTGGTTGGTTGGTTGGTCGGTTGGTCGGTTGGTTGGTCGGTTTGTTGGTCGGTTTGTTGGTCGGTTTGTTGGCTTGTTTGTTTGTCTTTTAGCGTTTGTTTGTTGGTCGGCTTGTTTTGTTTGTTTGTTTGTTGTTTGTGTTTGTTTATATGTTTGTGTGTGTTTGTGTGTATGTGTTTGCTGGTTTGGTAGTTTGTTTGTTTATGTGCTTGTTTGTTGGTTTGGTTGGTTGTTTGTTTGTTTGTTTGTTTGTTTGGTCGTTCGTTCGTTCATTCGCTTGTTTGTGTGTGTGTGTGCTAGCGTTTGTTGTTATTTGGTTGTGCTTCTTGTTCGCGGGCTTGTGTTTGTTTGTTTGTGTGTGTGTGTCAGTTTGTTGGATGGTTGGTTGGTTTGTTGGTTGGTTGGTTGGTTAGTTGGTTTGTTTAAATGGTTTGTTGTTGTTTTTCCTATTGGCTTGTTTGTTCCTTCATGTTGAATTCATATGAGTGTTTGCTAGTTAGTTTAACATGTGTTTTTGTTTGTTTGTTGGTTTGTTTGTCTGTCTGTTTGTTTGTTTGCTTGCTCGGTTGGATGGGTTGGGTTGGGTTGGTTTGAAGTTTGTTTGTTTGTTTGTTTGGTTGGTTGGTTGGTTGGTTGGTGGGTTGGTTGTGGTTTTGGTATCTGTTCGTTTGTGTTTGTGTGTGGTAACCCCTCTGAATTGCTTGCACGGCTTCTGGATAGAGCCTTCCAGGGTCACTTTTGGATGTGACAGTGTGAGCTTGGAAGCTCCTAAAAAAAACAACTCTTCAGCTTTTTTCAGAAAAGGGTGCGTACAAAAGGGTTCCTTTTAGAGTTAAGAGACTGGGGAATCAACGAATCAACCAACTTAATCTTAGGTATCTGCTACAGGTCTTGTTGGTGCGATAGGCAGGGAATGGGAAATGGAATGGCACTTATAGACCATCCCTTTGTAGTTTCCTTGAGGAAGTATCAGGTTCATTCCCTCACTCCCTACTGAGCACCAGCAAGCATTCCCTTCCATTCGCCTAAGAATGTTGAATGTATTTCCCCACTCCAGCAGCCTGCAACCACTGCTTGTTGGACAGTATCAAGGGGATTTTGGACATAGGAAAGAGCAGTTGCCGGGACCTGGGCGCAGGCTACTGCATTCCTTCAGTCTCCTGCTGACCCTTCAAACATGGGGTCATGACCCTTTCGTTTTTGGGCAATGGCCCATCGTATTTTAAGGGACAGAAGGAGACTCCAATGCCCGGTGAAAAAAATGATTCTAAAGGTTAGGGGAAACCAACAGTTGGTGACCTTTGTGGGGCCATCCACTCGTCCGGCTCATCTTGAGAGAAACTGATAGCTCGGGACCCGGACTTGGGCTCAAATTACAATTAATTACAATTGTTTATGTTGTTGTGTGGTTCGGGTTTGGGAAACGATGAGGAAGTCACCCATTTGTTTATTATCCCATTGTATTTTCTCTCGTGGGCACATTGGTCCAAACAAAATTCCTTTGACCATGGGATATGTTTTGCACCAAAATGTGTGGGGTGGCTTCCCTTTGGTTTATTCCTGGAGTCTCCTTCTGACCCTTATAAAAACTGGTTTGTCATCACCCAACATCATGGTTGGTCCTTGACCCATAGCTTCCGTTTTGGTTTTTTCCTGGAGTCTCCATGACCCTTAAGAAATGGGGGTCATTACCCAAAGACATTTTTTGAGGGTCAGCAGGAGACTCCAGGTTGGCATTTTGAGGGTCCAGGTCCTTGCCCCTTGATGGAATTTGTGTGGCGGAGCGAAGCTCTGTCCCACCAACTTTGGTTCTGCCGGTGCACGTATTTTTGTCCAGAACGAAATCGATTTTTGGCGTTTCCAAAAAGAACTCCTCAACTTTTGGGTGTGCCACCTTTCTTCCTCTTTCTTTGGTGAGTTCCCCGCCAAGGGTCAAGACTGTCAACCCAAGATTTCCCTTTTGCTGCACCTGGCGCCGGGGCTGGGAGTTGTTTTAGCCCGGCCTCCGAGTTCCGCCTCTCACTTCCCCAAGCTTCTGGACTGGCCAGTCTGGACCAAATTTGATTTGAAGCGTCGCTCTGGACTTCGTCTGGCCCATCCACTCAGGAAGTGAGACCCCCAGTTTTCCTTTGAGCGAAGAGCTACGCGTTGACGCAAGGATGGTGAGCTGGTGGTTGGCGAGGCAGCCAATCATCTGACTTTCGGCAGAAAGAGAGAGAGAGAGAGAGAGAGAGAGAGAGAGCGGAGGTAGTCCAGGTTGTGCCATGCCAGCTATCTAGGGATATTCATACGCTCTTACGGATGGTAGAAAACCAACGCAACATGTGCTAAGGGAACCATGACCATTTCTTAGGGAGTTTCACGGCTCAGTTCTTTCTTTGAAGCCCTGGGTGTTAAAATGGTGGATGCAACAAGATGACATTTTGAGGTCGTTGACACTTCTGGGATCTCTTCTGATAGTTGTTTTTCTTTCTCAAAACAGGGATTGTTGGATTCCTTTTGGCTTCGCTAGTACCAGCTAAAAGCCGATCCACCCTTTTGAGAGACTTCTCATATGGTTTTCCTTTTTTTAGGTTCGGAAAATATGAGCAACAAAGCTGAGTCAGCCTTGTCCTACAGATGCTGCAGGCTTCCCTTTCTTTGGTTTCTCAAGTACTAGCTTCGAATTGATCCAGGCCATACAAATCCGCGGTTCTCCTTTTAGAAGGGACACGATCTATAGGATTCCTCTGACTAGAGCCTGGATGATTCCAAAGTCAGCAGTATAATTTCATGAGCAAAGGTCGCTGTGAAAGCTCAAATGTGGCCATGGGATCCGGGGATTGCCCGCCTATTGTTATAAATTTCTTCACCCAAAGTCTGTTCGTTACTTCCTTCTGACATCTTGGCCGGCGGGAGAAGGGCGGGAGAAGGGCGAGAGTTTTGCTTTTGTCAGCTGCCCTTGAGTTTGTCGGGGCTGTCCGATTCGGGGGACAAGCTCGGGGCACCTGTTGAAGGTCACTTGGGGGTTCCTGATTGCGAATTTGTGGGTTGCAGCAAGTTGCCCATGGGCCGGCGCCTTCCAAGTGGTTGGCTTGGCTGTGCTTGGCTTGGCCCATCCAAGAACAGAGGCCCTGCCTTGATACAGACCCACGCCCTGATGAGTGTGAATTGGCATGATTCATGATCACTAGCCTTTGAGCATGAAGCTCATGCATTAGACAAACAAAGCCCTGCCGTTTTTGTTTGCCAAGTATGGAGAACCTCTGCCCGCTGGTATCCCTTCAACAACAACAAGAGATCCCTTAGGCAGATTCATATCGAGGGATAAGGTCAGCTGTGAACATCTATATGTTGCTTTTGCCTGCAAAAGCTCAATCGTGAAACGGGGATGGCTTCAGCTAGTGAATTATAGTGCAAAGATCGGATCCGGGGATCGGTTGAAATAGGTGTTCCTCCTGTTCTCCCTTAACCATCCTTCCATTTGCTTAAGAACATTTCTTATGTTCCCATCCTGGTTTTAAAGGGAATCTATCACTACTGGAAACAGTTCTACTTTGTCCAGCAAGTGGAATCATCCAACAAGCGGTCCGCTTTGACACAGAGAAAATCCCATGACCATGACCACCCAGGAGCGGATGCACTGCAGCTTGCCTGTGTAGCGGGTTGGGCCGTTGCTGGTTTTAGGGGTTGATTCCCCCTTCTTTTCCAGAAACCGGATCCATCCGTTTTTCCCGGGTTTCCGGAGGTTTTCTAGAAAGAGGGATCCCTGGAAAGAATGGAATTGGAAGGTACCCCTAGAACTGTGGATGGACAAAATCCCGTCGTGCCACGTTGAAACGACGGAGTTGAAACCATTGTTGTTGTTTATTTACATGGGAATCATCATTGCCAGGATTCTTTGGTAGTACACGATTTCGTCCATCCACAATATTGACATGGTTTTACTTGTATTGGGTGTTTGTGGTTGGCTGTGTGTTGGCTTGGTTTGAATGCTTGTTCTGTTGCCTCTAGCTTGTTTTCCAGTGTTGTTTTGTATTTTTACGTTCTGTTCATGTCAAGCTACGGGCTGCGAAGAACAAAGTGTGTTGCTGGGCATGCTTGTGGTTGGACAGTGTCGATGACAACCACATGTGGTGCTGCTTCCCAGCCAGGTTGCCACCTCACCCATGAAGGTTCCTGTCCCTTACTTTAGGTCTGTAGTGATTGCAGTTTAGCCAAGCAATATACAGGGCGAAGTTTCATCCGATTGCAATCCATAGGGCTCCTTCGATTGCTCTTTGGTTGAAGCATCTTCTTAGAATTGGCCACAAAATGAGGTTCCGGTTGGTGCGGTGATGGTACTCGATCTGCAGATGAACCAGCAAACTATTAAACTTTCTGGAGTCCCCCAAAAGGGGCACACCCCTTTTGAAATTCCATGTCTTGAACTTGCGGTTGGGATTATAAGGAAACCTGATTCTGACCCAGGGATCTGGTGGCATTCTAGCGTGCTTGCATGGAACCAAAGCGAGCTTACCCACTGATGAAGGCTCCTTGCTCGGGTCAATTGCAACTTATGAGGGGGAAACCCAGTGACCCTTAACCAACTGGTACGAATGGGGTTTGTCCATCCACCGTATTTTTGACAACCCAAATTGAAAGTTACCCGAGGAACCAAGGACCACTCGGAACCGATCAACCTGAGGTATCCGGCATCAAGCGCCTGTTGGGCCTCACATGGCCAGAGATCGAGGAGCAGGACTTCCCCTTTAAGGCGAAGACTCGTTTTCGCGAACGCGGGAGAAATTAGTTTGAAGACTACCTGGGGTTCAAACTGTTATCACCACCACTAAAACAAAAATTGGGCGTTCACATAGCCACCTTTATTCCTACCGTTCAGGAGTTTAGATAACCGCCATTGTTGAATGAAGGAGTTGAATCATCCAAATTGGGTCCCAAGGCCATTCTTTGAATGGCGGGTCCCATCGCTGGAATCGGCCCCATAGGTCGATCCTTTTGACACCTCGTTTGTCGTTTCAGCTACCCCGGGTGTGGGATTTCGGGGAACCGCAACTCCGAGTTCTCCATAGCAAGCCCCAGGACCCTTACCCAGGCAATCCATGTAGGTAGTATATACCCACATGTACCCTCCAAATGGGTGAAATGTTGGTATATAATTAGCTAGCTTGCCGAGTTCGAGCACTTTACTCACTTGGGAAGACCGGCCTTGTGGTTCCCCCAACAAGGTGAACTGCGTTTGGCCAATCCACAAAGAGTGAGCCAAGGACCCGTGTGTGTTTCACCAATATCGGTTTGAAGCAGGACTTTGGGAAATGTGTTTGAAGAAGACTAAGGACCCCTAGGGGAGAACTCAAAGGTTGGTTGAAGGAGTGGTGTGAATGTGTCCCAAGCAGGTGCTACTACATGACCAACGAACAACATTGCCAGGTTCGGCTTTGGGTGGTCCCCTCTCAGTTTTGCAGCTTGATTTCTTTTTTGGGTACTCGCGGTCCGAACAGGTGGCAACGTGTGTCACTTGCGGCTTTCCTCAAATGGGCGGTTTTGTTTCTTTGGACCCAAGGTGCAAGTGTGGTTTCAGACAAGCCTATGACACGGAAAGTCCTCAACAGCGGCTAGTGGACATGAACCGCCGGTTTATGATGTCCAAAGGGCCCCTACTGTGGATGGACAAAATCCCTTCGCACAACTTTGAAGCCATGGGAAACCATTCTGTATTGGTATTTGCAGGAGAATCATCATTCCAGGGTTTGGTTTCGTGGTGCGAAATGGAATTCGTCCATCCGCAGTATTTATCCACAACTTTTGAAGGCTTCCAAGGGCACCACGATTTTCCCGCATTTTTTAGGGGTACCTTCCCCATTCTTTCCAGGCATCCTTCTTTCTAAAAAACCACCCAAAACCCTGGCGAAACAGATCCGGTTTTTGAAAAGAACGATGGTTGAAAAGAATGGAATCGGAATCAACCCCTACACTGACCCCTGAAACCATTCTGGGATCCGCATGGGGACCCCTTCATTTCGCGATTTTCATAAACTAATGACACCAAGAACACCATTTGGATTCTGCTAAGGTCCTTAAAAACGCACACACACACACATACACCGCCTCAGGTGGTCCGTGGCGAGAAGGATGAGCCTTCGATCTGCCTCCAGGATGGCGACGAGGAGTTCCCTGGCGGCATGCGGAGGGCCCACTGCGCCCCCAAAACGGGCGAGGAACTTCTCTGTTGAAATGCTGGACTCCGTTCCTTTTTTCTTGTTGGTTTCGAACAACGGAAAAACAAAAGGACAAAAACCGAACCAACCCATTTTGGGGGTTCCTGGAGTCTCCATGACCCTTCACAAATGGGGGCATGACCCTGCTATTTTGGGCAACGACTACATTATTTAAGGGCTCCAGGTTCTATGTTGTGAAACAGCCATAGCAGCTGGAGCCAGGGGAAGGTCACAGAATATTTTCTCTACGAAACCCCTACCACGAGGCCTTTTTTACATGGCTAGATAGTGGTAATAGCCTCCATGCTCCCTCAATGAGTTTCCTCATTCCGCCACGTCCACGAGCAACACCAATTTAACTTGCCCGCGCACATCTAATTAAATGGTTCCAGAAAAAGTGCGCTCGCCGCTGGGCGCCCTTTGGTATCGTTGCTCGCCTTATCTTGAGGGGTTTTGATTTGGGGCTCTTTATCCTTGGTGAGTTCTGAAGGGTTGAGGTCTCCTTGTGCCGGCCCGGCCTGGATATCAGGCCTTCGAGCCAGGATAAAGACCTCCCCTCATGAACCCTCACGGTTTGAACTCATGGGCTTTAATTTGTTAACCCCGGATTAATACACCCCTGTTGATTAATAGGGGGGTGCCCCCTTTTAGTGGGGATTCAGACCACTTTTGGAGGGAACACCCCCCCTAATAATGGAGTGGGTTTATCAATCCTGGCTCAACATTAGTCACTTTTTGGGCAGACCGTTTTAGTGGCCAGCAAGCAGTTGTTTGATTTTCGGGCCAATCCACTCGATCGCGAGTCAGGCTCGGGCAGCCTAAACCTAGAGCAACCGGACCGGAGGAACTCGCAAGGTTCAAGCGGGGGTGGTGGGTATGGGTCAAAAGAAAACCATCCGGGATCCGGGGACCGCTGGTTTTAGTCTTTGGCTTCATTTGCCAGGGTTCCATTTTCGGTACGCATTTTTTGACCCGCAGCCAGGTGATGCTGGGCATGTTGCCCCGACAAGGCAGCGCTAATGCTGCCCCGACAAGGTAGCGCTAGCACAAACCAGAAGAAACAAAACAACCTCTACCCCAACGATAGATCAATCTGTCAAAAAAAGGCCTGTGTACCCTTCCACCCGCGCTCGCTACTAGGGAACCCCATGTGCGCCAGCACCCAAAATCTGGAGACATGTGGGTACCCCCAGATTTAAGCCCGTGTCCGTTGCACAGGAAGATCTTCTCGGCAGTGGAGTTGGCCGCGTTGCTACTGCGGAAGATGCGCCTTGCTGCGAATGGTCGGTTTGGTTGAAAATAGACAGGTCAACCCAGTCAATCCTTAGGTGCAAATAGTGGAGCGGAATAACGAATAGTTGATCATGGGATTCCTTATGTCAAATACTGCGCTGTTGTTGCCAAGTTTTTTAGTTTTGGTTTGGTTGGTTCTGTTGAATTTTTAGTAGCGGGCGAAGAGCAAAGTTGTTTGCTTCCATACCAAGGGCTGTAAAGATTGGTCGTCTAGGGTGCAGAGCCGTCAACAGGTCAACCCTTAAACTGCATGTTCCTTGATCCCCTGATCGCAACTGGCCTTGGTTTGCCTCTGCGCAATTGTCTGTGTGCGTGTGTGTGTTTTCTTGTGGGCTCCAAATGTGGCACATTCAACAAACAGTGGTCTGGGGTCCATTTGGACCAGTTAGAAGATAGGGGTATTGACAATCACTTCCAGCTGGCTCCCGAATCTCCCCTGTCTTTTGCGGGAAGGGAAGGCTGGGAAACCGTGGCTCATATGGGTCGGCCTTTTTCTGAGGGTACCTGTTTTTGGTTGGTTTCAATGCGAAACCAGAAGGGAAACCAACCATTTTGGCGGTGTCCAACCTAAAAAAGACGAGCCACCCATATGCAACTTTGCGCAAGCTGTAGTTTGAAGTCTATATTTGTGGAAGCAAATGCAATCCCTGCAACGGTCTGATTCCCGTATCACCTAACATGTGGCAAAGGGTATCAGCCCAGGCATCGTTTTAAAAAATCAACAACAAATCCCTGAATCACCCCTGAACCTACCCCCCTCAACCCAGCAAGCGCACCCCAAATCCGCCTTCAACCAACAAAACGAACCGGCCGCCCAAAACCACGCCAAGCCTGCAACAAGCCATAACACCGCCCACCCCCCTAAACCCACCTGCATTTGCCAAGGAAGTCCGTAGTCACGGAGTACCTGGGCTTGGAGACAGAAGTGAAGGCCCGATTCGGATCAGCCTGCCGAAGACTGTTGCCCTAAAATCTGTTTTTAGGGGCCCCAAAATGCTGGTTGTCCGTTTGTTTTCCCGTTTTTACCACCAAACAAGGGGTGCCAAATCCGAAGAAGACTGGGGTCCCTTGTGTGGGGCTTTGGGGGTATCACTCGAACTTTCGGGACCCCATTGTCTCACTTGCTCAGTCATAAACTTGCTTATGCTTTGTGGGTAGGCCATGTTAGTGGTACGGAAAGTTCAGGCTTGATAGGTCCGATTCTCTGAGGAAGTGAGAAGTGGTGGGAAACCCGCCAGGAATGCACAAGTTTGTTGGGTGCTTGGTCTGTGTTCTGTGGGTGATCCGCGCAGCTTTCTCACGTCAGAAGGGAAGTGGGGGGGGAATTTGAGGATCCTTCCTGGACTTCCGTTTTGGCAAAATGTGTGTTCCCCGTACACATGAAGGATTCCTTCAACCTCAAGTCTCCATGACCCTTAAAAAGTGGGGTCATCACCAAAATAATGGGGTCATTGACCCATTTTTAACGGGTCATGAAGACTCCAGGAAGGGCCAGGACAAACTTGTGGACAATGGCTGGCAAAAGCAGCACGACCTGGGCCTTCCTTTCGGCACTTTGGGGTGCACGGGTGATCTGTTCGACTTTCTATGTGGTCTCCCACAGAGTGTAGGATTCCTCATGAAGGTGTACCAAACTTGCCCCAAGCCCCGGCAACACCCCAAACTGTGAAGGTATATACTTACCTTGCTTGGCTTTTTTGCCTGCGTCTGCCTTTTTTGCACCGTTTCCTTTTTTGGCAGGGGGGCTCCAGTTGCTTTTGAGTCCACACTGAAGTCACTTAAGCCTTTGTTTGCTATTGGGCTCCGGTTGGCACTTTCGATCCAACGAGTCCGCCTGTTTGCCATGTGGACAAAATCCCTTCGCACCAAAAAAACAAGGTATTTAAAGGGAAATCAGAATATGAGTGTGGCTCAAAATTAAACAACTGGGGCAAACCGCAGGTTTTAGTCTTTTCCATTTGCCTCTTGGTGCCATTTTGGCAGTTCCATTCTTTTGAGAGCCACAGAATTATATCATTCCGAGATTTTTGAACAGGGTTGTGAGATCAGGGTTTATCCTCACTTCTGTGATACAAGGGAATCTTCCCCTTTACATGGAAGGTTAGTCTTTGGGAAGCCCTCTTTGTTGTATCACAGAGGATTCCATTTCAACCACAGCCCTGTTTCTG